TGCTGTGAGAGAGGCGCTGCTCTTACCGGACAGGGCGGCTCGGGCGGCTCGGCTGCAGGGCGGCTCGGCGACTCGGCTGCTGGGCGGCTCGGCTGCTGGGCGGCTCGGCGGCTCGGCTGCTGGGCGGCTCAGCGACTCGGCTGCTGGGCGGCTCGGCGGCTCTGCTGCTGGGCGGCTCGGCTGCTGGGCGGCTCGGCGGCTCGGCTGCTGGGCGGCTCGGTGGCTCAGCTGCTGGGCGGCTAGGCTGCTGGGCGGCTCGGCGGGGCCGCTGAGAGGGCGGCGTCCGGGGCCGCTGGGAGGAGGCGGCGGGGCCGCTGAGAGGAGGCGGCGGGGCCGCTGAGAGGAGGCGGCGGGGCCGCGTCAGGGGCCGCGGCAGGGGCCGCGTCAGGGGCCGCGTCAGGGGCCGCGGCAGGGGCCGCGTCAGGGGCCGCGGCAGGGCCGCGTCAGGGCGCCGCGTCAGGGGCCGCGTCAGGGCGCCGCCAGGGGCCGCGGCAGGGCGCCGCCAGGGGCCGCGGCAGGGCCGCGTCAGGGCCGCGTCAGGGCCGCGTCAGGGGCCGCTTCAGGGCCGCGGCAGGGGCCGCGGCAGGCCGCGTCAGGGCCGCGTCAGGGGCCGCGGCAGGGCCGCGTCAGGGCCGCGGCAGGGGCTGCGTCAGGGCGCCGCCAGGGGCCGCGTCAGGTCGCGTCAGGGCCGCGTCAGGCGCCGCCAGGGGCCGCGTCAGGGCGCCACCAGGGGGCGCGTCAGGGGCCGCGATAGGGCGCCGGCAGGGGCCTCGTCAGGGCGCCGCCAGGGGCCGCATAGGGGGCGCGTGGGAGGCGGCGTAGGGGCCGCGTAGAGGCAGCGTAGGGGCCGCTAAAAAAAAAAAAAATAGGGCAGGGCGCAATGTGCGCGGGCAGCTAAAAAAAAAATTCTTATGGTGGGCCCTTAGGAAGGAACGGTCCCATGTAGGAACCCGCTCTATACCATGTGAATTAAGAAAAAACAGGAATGGGAATGACTAAGTGAAAGTTGGGTACAAGAAGCAAACCCTAGAAAATTGTACCCCATATGTGCTACCCCACTCTAGCCTACAGTAGCTATGTCATATAAATCTGACAGCCAGCTCCCCTGAGGCGAAATCGCCAGCTCCCCTGAGACGAAATCGCCATAGGCGCGCCTGACGACAAAAGCGCAACTGGCGCGCTTGACGACGAAACCGCCAGTGGCGCGCCTGGCGACGAAATTGCCTTACGAGATTGCCACTAGCGAGACTGACAACGAAATCGCCACCAATGCGACGGATGACGATATCGCCACAGTCGAGCCTGACGAGATTGCAAGGGCGCGCCTGCAAAAATTGTGGTGTGACAAGGCGAAAACGCCACGGACATGACGGGACGCCTCCGCTACATCAACCGCTGCAACTTCTACCGGCAATGCGGACGTGACGCCTGCACCGTTATTATGATTTTTATTGCAACACGGATATGTGTTTCCATTTTTTTCAAATTGGTCAATAATTATGTCTTCTCCGCTCTGGTTTTCACTGATCGCAGTTTGCAGGAATATCTGCGCACGGACGAGTGTCAATGCTTGGCACATCCCCGCGTCGTTCCTAGGAGGGGAAGGGGACCGAGGGCCCCGGCTGGCCAGAGGGCCGTTCCCCATGGGGGGAAGGGGACCGAGGGTCCTGGCTGGCCAGAGGGCCGTTCCCCATGGGGGGAAGGGGACCGAGGGTCCCGGCTGGCCAGAGGGCCGTTCCTCATGGGGGGAAGGGGACCGAGGGTCCCGGCTGGCCAGAGGGCCGTTCCCCATGGGGGGAAGGGGACCGAGGGTCCCGGCTGGCCAGAGGGCCGTGCCCCATGGGGGGAAGGGGACCGAGGGTCCTGGCTGGCCAGCGGGCCGTTCCCCATGAGGGGAAGGGGACCGAGGTTCCCGGCTGGCCAAAGAACCGTTCCCCATGGGGGGAAGGGGACCGAGGGTCCCGGCTGGCCAGAGGGCCGTTCCCCATGGGGGGAAGCGGACCGAGGGTCCCGGCTGGCCAGAGGGCTGCTCCCCACGGGGAGAGGACCGAGGGTCCCGGCTCGTGACATGCGGAGATAGAGAGAGAAAGAGACACGAGAGCTGGCACACGGGTCATTGTGCCAAGGAAGGAGTATATGCACATTGCGACAAGCTTGTGATATGTAGAAAAAAGGGGACTTACCCTATGCCATCCTTGGCTGCCGGTATAATGCCTTTCAAAATTGTATTTGCCCTGGTACGTGTCCTTGTTTGTGCCTTTGTATTGATTGTCCAAGACAGATCTTGCGGAATTGGTTACATTATAAAATGCTCGAATTGAGAGCCTTGGTTACAAACCACCTTGAACATGGCTTGAGAAACGATTGTCCTTGTCGAAATGAATCTACAATGGCTTTAAGGCTTTAATATGCTGCCCTTGACTCAAACAAGGAACGGAGATACACCTGCTCTCACATTGAGTCCGAGGTTTTGAACACAAAACATGCATTACTGTGCAAAGGGCAGTAGTATCATGAATTCTGACGACGAGACCCGACACTGGCATGAAATTAAAACCATCCAAGTTAGAGTCAGGGTAGGTTGTTTGTGATCACTTATCTCTGCCTTGTTGTGATGTTTCTGGAACTCCCACATTAGATGACCTACTCATGACTGATTCTAGGTGTGATGTGTACATAGTACGCAGTTCTGTAAAAGTATCCAGGCTGGCACATTTATTCTTGTACGGGTCTTTATCGCTCATTCATACGGTAAATACCGCACGATCATTCACCATCTGATGAACTTCTCAAAGTCCCTAATGGTAATAAAAAGCCATACCGGTACCTCTGCGTTCACACTCCTCCTAGCGCAGCTCTCGCGCCGCATGCGCCCATCCCAAGCCATCCCGCCTGCTAATCCACTTGGTGAATTCATTCTGACGATCGTATGCCAGTCATGAGGCTTCATTGGCAATCTTGGCCTCTCGTGTGCTCTCGTGGACAATCGCGAACGTGAAAAGCAGCTCTTGACAATAATTCTAGAGTAGTCACTAACGCTAACTCCGTCATACGAAAATCACTTGCATGCAATTTCGCTCTGTCATCCACACGTCAATCACGCGGCATCATCGGGAGACGTCGAACATCCACACCCTCAACAGCTAACTTCAACCACCAGTTTCAACCACACTCTTCTGCTGCACCAACAACCAGGGACATCTACATCAATGGAACGAGCAATCGTCATACACAACATTCCGAAACCCAACGGCATGGCGATCACATCACAACCAACCAACGCCACATCTCTCAGCAATTCGTCGAGGCCATCAACCACAACAAGACTCAACACGTCTTCACCGCTCCTAACTACACATGTCTCAGTAAACCCAACTGTAATGAAGCACGTTGCCTTTGCAAGAACAGAAAGCAAGCTTTCTCAATATGAATTTTTTTGAAAGTGTGTAACACTTTCTAAAAATGTGTATTGTGAAAGCGTAGCTTACTGTAGCGAAGCAAGGCAACGGCGAATTACTATTCGCCGAGTACATAACGAGGGTTGGAGGCCTTTTGGCCTCCACCCACGTCTTCATTTCGGAACTTTGTAGTTCCATTCCCCACCCACCCACCCTAGTCGTATACATGATGTAATCTATAATTAGGTTGGACGAGAATGATGTAATTACTGCAACTGTAATGAAGCACGTTGCCTTTGCAAGAACAGAAAGCAAGCTTTCTCAATTCTTGAATTTGAACGATTGCCACTCTGGACTCAGGCTTTAATAGCCCATTGGTTTGAGGCGCCGCGCCAACAACACCCCTCTGAACGTGATTCACGAGGCTGCACCAGTCATGTTGGACCCGCCACGCGGAGGCTGCACCAGTCATGTTGGACCCGCCACGCGGTAATTGCGGTCTCATCCATGCGGCACAGGTAAGAATCGCTTTCAGTGTTAGTTTCGTTACAACGCTGTTGAATCAGCGTACTTGGGAAAAAAAGCCTGGAATTTCAGAGTGGCCCAACAAAAAAGGCTGAAAAATCACTCCCACAATAATCTTGACTCTGAAAAATCAGTGTAGGTTAAAAAAGGACTGCAAAAATTATTAATTTCAGGGTTTTTTTCCTGATACCGTATGGCCCTGGATATAGGCGCCGTCCAATTAAAGGCGCCGGCGCCTCTATCTGGAGCATGGCGCTTATGGCCGTTCCTCGATTATAAGTGCCCCCCCCCTAGAAAACCTTTACTTATTATAAGCGCACGTGCAATTTTAATTTAAATTCCTGCTTAAAACAGTAACGAAATTCTTTTTTGCAGCGAGTCAGATTTCAATTTCGCTTCGATTTGACTCGCGAAGACCTGACTGGCTCCGCGTCTAGTCAGGATCTACTGGCATGACGTGTCTTTATCCCTCCTCCTCTTATTTCTCCCCACAGCGGCGCAGCAGCAGACTACTCCGCCATTATCCCTCCTCTTATTTCTCCCTTCAGCGGCGCAGCAGCAGACTACTCCGCCGTTATCCCTCCTCCTCTTATATCTCCCTTCAACGGCGCAGCAGCAGACTACTCCGCCGTTATCCCTCCTCCTCTTATATCTCCCTTCAACGGCGCAGCAGCAGACTACTCCGCCGTTATCCCTCCTGCGCGAGATTTTGTTTTGTGACGCTAAAGCATTTCGACTCGGTTGAAACGGCAAGAAGAAAATGAACAACTTGGTGCTATAAATATATAATTTCGTATTTGTCATCATATAAGCGCCGGCGCTTATGGCCGTTACTCAATTACAAGCGCCCCCCCTCAAAAAAATGAATTTATTATAAGCGCATATGCGCCTATATCCGGGGTAATACGGTATCTGAGGACCCTCAAACGAATCTGAGGCCCTGGGACTGAGTCTGCCAAGGGGTTAGCTTGATAAGGGACAGTAGGAACACGCCGTAAGACTCAATTGGAAATACCTAAGCCAACACTACAAATCAAATTACACAACAAATCAAATCCGCTAAAATCACACAATGAATTATTTCAAACCATCAAAGAATGGCAACAGCGTACGCGACAGCTGGTCCTCCTCAATAGGCTTGGTCATGTACCCATCCATTCCCGCACCGACACACTTCTCCTTGGTCCCTGCACCCACATCTGCAGTCAGTGCGATCACCAGCAGCCGCCGCTTTGCACCTGCGGCTGCTGCGTCCTGCTGTGAAGTAGCCGCCTTGGCTTGCTGCTCCGCTTCATACTTGCGAATGAGCCCTGTGGCCTCCAGCCCATCCATTCCCGGCATCTGAACGTTAGATAGAGCAAGCAGCGATGCACACCAGGGAGCGACGAGAGGAACAAAGGTATGAACAAATGCAAGATCTATGGGCACGGAAGGGACAAGCCACGCAGGAGTCAAGGAGACCACAATCTGTAGTCGAACGAACAGAAGCCACAGAACAAGCCGAAGGATAAGCCAAGAAACTATCGCACGGCACAGCAGCTACAGGCGTGTTCCTGAGGCGTATCAATTTCAACGCAGCATGACAATGGGCATGCACATGGGAGCATGCATGGCAGCAGACAGTGGCCTCACCTGCAGGTCCATGAAGACACAGCAGTCGTACGAAGGGCTGCAGTGAAGCAGTCAAGCACGGGCACGTACAGGGGCCTCACCTGCAAGTCCATGAAGACACAGTTGTACGGAGTGGCGGCAGCATCGGAGCGAGCGACGGCGGCGATGGCCTTGGCGCCACCATCCACGGCCTCCACGTGCACGTCGTAGCGCTCAAGCATCTTGGACATCACCTTGCGGTTCACCATGTTGTCATCCACCTGGGGGGAGGAAAAGAGAGAGGCAGAGCATGAGGGTGTATGGGGAACTTGTGCATGCAGCCAGCCAAGGGAGGAAGGTGTGAGGGAAGAGCTGCGCTGCAGCATCTTGGGCATCACCATGTTGTCACCACCTGAGGGGGAGGTGGGGAAGGGAGGGGATGGGGTTGGTTGGGACTGGGGAAAAGTGGGGGAAGGAAGGGAGAGAGTGAGAAGAGAGGGAGGGACAAGGATGGTCAATCTGGGCGGGAACAGAAAGATTGTGTGTGTCGGTGGTGTGGAGTGTGTGGAGGGTGTGCAGATGTGAAGCTCACCACGAGGAAGTGTCGTCCACCCAGCTTCTCACACAGCAGCTGCGCCGTCTTGCTCTGCTTCCCCTTCTTCACCTGCACACCGCCCCTGCCCGCCGCACTGCCTCCCACGGCCTGCTTTCCACCCAACTCACTCGCGCCGCCTTCACTCGCCTGCCTGAAACTCCCTGATTCCCGGCCCCTGCCCAGTTCCTTGTTCAATTGAATGCCACCAGAGTCACCCTCAGACCGCCGCCCCTTGCTGCATCCATCACCATCATCATCACCACCACGAGCACCAGCACTGCCACCATTCCCTGCTTTTCCCCCTTGCAGGCTCACCACAAACCCCGTACCCTCCTCCGCGGCCTCGTCCCCCTCTTCCTCCTCCTCCCCGTCGCCACTGTCTTGGTTCGCCGTCGCACCCAGCAGCAGCTGGGAGAGGCAAGCAGAGAGCGCAGAGAAGCGCACTGGCTTGCACACCGTGCCGTGGAATGCCGCCCCCCCCTCCTCCGCCGCTGCTCTGCTCGCCGCCCTGCCCCCATCTGCCCGGTTGCTGCTCTCCCCCATCGCCCCACACTCCAGAAGAACCGACGCGAACCATGGTGACTGTTGCTGCTGGAGCTGCTGCTGCTGCTTCTCCATGTACATGTAGGTGCAGTGGGAAGCAGCAGGAGAGAGAGCTGACTCGTGAAACAGCCTCGCCGCCACCTGCTGCCACGACAGCGCTCCTCTGCTGTTGCCACCGTCGCCCTCTCTCCTCTCGCGCTGCCGCTGCTGCGGATGCAGAGGTACCCCCATGCGGGGAGTGCAAGGCGAATCTCTCCCTCCTGAATCCTCATCTCCGCTCGCACCGCCCTCCTCGCCTGCCTTCCGTGCCTCCTTCAGTCGCCCCAGCCACTCCCCTTCCACCACCACTATCACAGGCCGTAAACCCTGGAGCTGTGATACGGGTGCATGTGTACTGCTTGCACTCGAGAACAGACACTGAAGGTCCCGAGGCAGAGGCGCGTTCCGAACCGGGATACCGAGCCTGCCGAGCAGGCTCTCCGTGACGCCGAACCTCACGGGCTTGTCGTCAAGCAGGAGAGCGTCAAAGTGAGTCAAGCTAGCCTCGGCATGCTGCAGGAGAGGCAAAGGGGACATGGGCACCATGTGAATGGGCGACGCCGTGAGTCTGTGCACGGGCGTGGACTGCAGCAAGCGCAGCTGCGCTGCCTGCATGCCTTGGAGCTCCTTCAGTGGCGCATGCAGCAGCTGAAGGGACGGGTTGCGATAATGGCGCGCAGCGGAGGGCTTGCAAGGCGAGGAGGACGAGGGGGGCAGCAGGCGCGGAGAGGTGTTGAGCGAGGTGGAGACGCACGCGCGGCAAGGGGAGGAGAGGCGTGGGGATGCCAAGGCGTCTTCAAGAGGGAGGAGCGAGAGGTGGTGCGTTGGGGAGGAGGTGTGGCGCTGTGGAAGGCGGCGCGGTTGCGCTGCGAGTGAGGGCATTGCCTCCACTGCACCTGCTGCTGCAGCTGATGCCACTCCTGGCATTCCATGTGCGCAGGCAGAGGCAGGCCTTGCACCAAGCACACCCATGGCAGCCACGGGACTTACGGGACCCACAATCCCCATGGGCTCCCCTCCCTGCTGTGGCTGCTGCTGTGAGGAATCCACCACGAGCGGCACGAGAATGTCAAAATAGAAGGTGGTGCCGACGCCGGGGCGCGAGGAGAAGGCGAGCTTGCCGCCCATGAGCGCCACGAGGTGGCGGCTGATGGACAGCCCGATGCCCGTGCCGCCGTGCGTGCGCGTCGTGCTCGCGTCCGCCTGCGTGAACGGCTTCAGGATGCTCTTCTGCGCTGCCTTGGGGATGCCCTCGCCCGTGTCCTGTGCGGGGGACGGAGGGGGGGGAGACAGGTGGGGGTGGGGGGGGAGGGGGGGGGGGGGGGGGGGAGTTTACTTGAGTGCAGACAGGACACGTGCAAGAAGAGTGAAATCAAAACAGACACTCCCACCCCCCTTCTACCCCACTCCCACTCCCTCCCCTCCCCTCAACCCCCTATGCACCCCAACCCCCCTCTCCAATGCCCTCCACATTCCACGCCAAGCACCGAACCCCACCACTGACCTCCACGGTGATCACCAGTCGCACGGTGGGCCCGCTCAACACAGGCTCGCCATCGACACTCCCAGCAGTCGCAGCATCAGCAGCTGCACCATCGCCACCCACATCAATCACGCACTCCTTCCCCGCACCCTCCTTCTCTCCCTTCACCCCCGGTTGCTCCTCCCCCGTCCCCTCCTCGCTCACTCCGCACTCCCCTTCCCCCCCACCCTCCCTCCACCGCTGCTGGCGGCTGGCCAGCACATCCCAGCTGTTGCAGCTCCGTACTGCCTCCATCCCACTCAGTGTCGCCCACTGCGCCTCCCTGCTCCCACCACCTCTGCTGCTGCACCCCCCCATGCTGCCCTGGCTAGTCCAGCTGCTGCGCCCAGTCATGCCCGCCCTCTCGCCCATGCCCACGCCGCCCCTCGCACCCTCTCCGCCCCCCCCCTGCCCCTGCCTGTGTGCGGGGGTGCGTGCGTGGGAGTGCGAGTGCGAGGGGTGGCGCGTGCGGAAGTCACGCTTGAGGTCCTCGGAGGGCAGGGCGGTGCGCACGGCTATGAAGATGTGGCCCTTCTCCGTGAACTTGAACGCGTTCGATAGCAGGTTCACCAGCACCTGTGTGGCAATGCGGGGTTGGGGGGGGGGAGGGCGGGGGGAGGGGAGGGAAGGAGGGGAGGGGAGGGAGGGAGGGGAGGGGAGGGAAGGAGGGGAGGGGAGGGAAGAGAGGGTGGAGGGACGGGTGGCGAGGAGGCAGGGGGGGAGATGAGAGGTGAGATGTAGTGATGAGGCACATGCAGTTTGGCGAGGATGGGTAGCAGAGCAGGAGCACATGGAGAAGGATGGCGCAGATGGTGCGAGTCCCCACCACATGGAAGGCACGCTCGAGAATCAGCGGCGCATGGCACCCGCGCACATGCCATTTCGTAGCGCGCATCACACCCACGCACTCCCACGCACACCCCAACCCACCCCACCCCCCACCCCACCCCACCCCACCCCACCCCACCCCCCCGCACCTGGCGGAAGCGCAGGGAGTCCCCGAGCACGGCGGGCGGCACCCAGGGGTCGATGTAGGCGGCGACCTCGAGCAGGGGCTTGGCGCGGAAGCGCTCCACGAACATAGTGAGAACCGTGTCCACCTGCGCGCGCACGTCCATGGGCACGCGCTCCAACGGCATCTTGTTCGCCTGGGGGGCCATGGCGCCGGAGAGAGGGAGCGCGGCAGGGAGGGATGGGGGGAGTGGCAGGTGACACTCAACTGCGGATGATGGGACTAGAGAAAGAAAAGGGGGGGAGGATGGGAGGGGGGTGGGGAACTTGAAGAGCCTGAGCGACGGTGGACCTCAGCAGCGAAGAGAGGTGCAGCAGCAGCAGCAGCAGCAGCAGCAGCAGCAGCAGCAGCAGCAGCAGCAGCAGCAGCAGCAGCAGCAGCAGCAGCAGCAGCAGCAGCAGCAGCAGCAGCAGCAGCAGCAGCAGCAGCAGCAGCAGCAGCAGCAGCAGCAGCAGCAGCAGCAGCAGCAGCAGCAGCAGCAGGAGCAGCAGCAGGAGCAGCAGCAGCAGGAGCAGCAGCAAGAGTCGCAAGAGCAGCAGCCTATCCCCCATGGATCCACCATGAGCAGCAGCGCACCTCGATCTTGGAGAGGTCGAGGATGTCATTAATGAGCTCAAGCAGCGCGCGCCCACTGGTATGCGCCGTCTCCACATAGTCCAGCTGCGTGATGCTGAGCGGCGTCTCCAGCAGCAGGTTGAGCATCCCAATCACGCCGTTCATGGGCGTGCGCAGCTCGTGCGACATGGTGGCCAGGAAGGTGCCCTTGGCCACGCTCGCGCGCTCGGCGACGTTGCGCGCGGCTTTCATCTTGTTCTTGAGCAGCTGCATGCGCAGGAAGTCACGCTCCAGGCGCTGCATGTGCCCGCCCGCCGCCCACCACATGTACCCCACGAGGGACATCACTGTCACGATCACCAACGCCCACCCCAGGCTCGCGAACGGGAAGACGTAGAAGTCGGTGTACCTGGTGGGGCGGGAGAGGGGTGGGTATGGGGGTGTGGCTTGTGAGGCGACTCAGAGGCCGGCTTGTGAAAGGGAAGATGTAGACGCTGGTGTACCTGGTGGGGCATGGAGGGGGGTGGGTGGGGGATTGGAAAGGGGCATGGGAAGGGGCATGGAAAGGGGCATGGAAAGGGGCATGGAAAGGGGCATGGAAAGGGGCATGGAAAGGGGCATGGAAAGGGGCATAGTAAGGGGTGGGAAGGGAGGAGATGTTGTGATGGAAGCTGGGGACTGACTGAGATTGGTCAACACGGTCAACATGGTCAACACGGTCAAGAGATCTTCCAGCAAAGGCGAAACATTGCAAGGGAAGCCGCAGAAACAGGACCGTGCCCCCCGCCGCACCTGCAGCGCATCTCGTGCTGCCGGGACGGGTCCCCTAGGTCAAGCGCAGCAATAATGTTGTAGTTATCCGTTTCGCCGGGCGCGAGGCGGTGATCCACGGGATCGTACATGAGCTCCTCCAGATCCTCCATGTGCCCACTGCCGCCGCTGCTCGAGCTAAACGCGTTGCTGGGGCTGCTGCTGCTGGGGCTGCTGGTTTCGACTGTGGCGATGCGGCCGCTGCTGGTGTTGGCTGTGCGCTGGTAGCGCCGCGGGTCAGCGGCGCTGCCTGGGGTGGCGCGCGTGCGCGTGACGTCGTAGATGCGCACGAACATGCGCGAATGGCCCTTGTGCATGGACTGCCATGGCGGGAGCGGGAGCGGATGAGAGCGGTGAGTGAAGGGAGAGGGGAGAGGGAAGGGGGGGAGAGGGGAGGGGGGAAAGAGGGAAGGAATACGCTGTACGAGATGGAAACGCAATCAAACATCCTATGAATTTCACTTGCGAGGTCAAATCGTAGACAAGCAGCAACAAAGAAGCACGCAGCTCATCCCTTTCTTTCTTTCTCATCCCCTCCCTTACTCCATTCCGGTCCAAAGCTATCACTCTCCCTCCCCTTCGTCCCCCCCTGTACTCCCCCTCCCCGCCCCCGCCTCCCCCAAGCCTCTGCAGGCCCACCGTCCCCTCTAAGATCCGCACCTGTACAAGTGATGTGAAGTCCACAAGCGCGGACATGTATCCGCGACACGCGCTCCTCATAGCCGTCACGTTCGCCCTCTCCTCCCCCGGCGGCGCGCGCCCCTCCTTGTACACGGGGTACACACGGACCAGCGCCGTGCCGTCCGCCGCGCTCCCCCACGCTTCCACCCAGTGGTTTTCGCGCTCCACCGCCTCCTCCGCCGCCGCCGCCGCAGCCGCTTCGTCCGCGGTGGCGTCGGGATTGGCGCGGCGCAGCGGCGCCGTGAGCGCGCCCATGGTGCCGTTGTCCCGCGCATGCTCCACTGCGCTCATGCCCGTCGCGTCGGCAGCTGCGGGTGGTGGGCGCGAGGGGCGAGAGAAGGCGGCGGAAAGAGGGGTAAGAGCAGGAACGAGAGGGGGAACAGGAGAGGCGGAACAAGAGCGGAAAAGGCGACACGAGACAGGTGCGCGGAAAAAGCGTCAGACGCTCTCATATAACGAGGATGACTCGTAAGTCGACTCAACGAAGCCGGCATAGAAAAGAAGCCGGCAAGCGGTGCGAAACAACTCCAGCGCGCGTCTGTGGCGGAAGAGCGAGGGAAGAGGGGGAGCGCGGAGAGCAAGTGACGTACACAACATGAGGTCTTGACCGGCGGGGAGCTGCGCGGACGTGGTGTAGATAATGGGCGCGTACTCGGTGCTCTGTGGCGCGCACGCCGCGCCGTCCCTGCACCCCACCGCGTGACCGTGGGAGGCGATGAGTGGAGTTCGGGCCGAGGGTGATGCAAGGGCAGGTCGAGAGATGGGGTGAAAATGAGTGAGTGAGTGCGAGAGAGAGAAGGGAAGTACGGGAGAGAGGGAAGGCAAGTGCCGCGGGACAGAGAGATCGCGGACCGTCTCACAATCCATCCAAGCGGATCTTCGTATCAAGGCAGTCTCTCTCAACTCTGCCCAAACCAGCCCAGCCCCTCGTATCGCATCCCCTTTTCGTCCCCCGCCAGACAGGGCCGAACGCTACCTGATGCAGAAGCCTTGGCCGCGGCTGCGCTCGAAGCGCGCGCGCGCTGCGTGCGGCACGCGGATGGCAAAGGAGATGTGGTGGATGTGCGGCCACGCGTACGTCGTCTCGTTCAGAAACGACAGGAAGGTGCGCTGCAAAAGGGGGGGCGGGGAGAGAGGGGGAAGGAACAGGCAAACGGGGGAGTGAGGTGGGAGTGAGGGATGGGGGGTAAAAGCGCGCGAATGGGGGAGCGAAGGAGGCGGACGGGACGGGAAAGGGGAGAAAGGGAAAGGGAGGGGGAAGGGGGAAGGATGGGTGGGGGGAAGAGGAAAAGCACAGAAGGGCTTACAGGCTCCTCCAGTGGAGCGTGCGTGCGTGTGAGTTGGCTCACCCGGTCGAGCGTGCCCTTGGGCTTTCGAAAGTGGAAGGTGGAGACGAGATTGGCGAGCAGGCGGATCTGATTGGTGGTGTCCATGAAATGCTCCTCCAGTAGCACGCGCCACGCCTCGCACTCCATCTCCACCTCCTCCTGCCGCCACGTGTCGCCATCCCATGCCATGTCGATTGTCATGCACCGACATTGCAAGGAAAGCGAGCGAGTTAGGCATCGCGCTAAAGAGGAACGTGCACGTGTATTCGAGTGTACGTGCGCAAGCAACAGCGCGCACCCACATACTCGTCCTCACCTGTCGCTCGTGCTCAAACGAGTTATACGTCGCCACGAACACGCCAGCTGCCACCGCTAGAGTCACAACCGTCCACACGACGACGAACAGCGGCCTCCACGCGGGACTCAACTGAAAACGGCGCTGCTTCCCTCCGCGCGCCGCGCCGTCGCGGCCCCGCAGTTCCGCCGCATCGCCATCATTCTCCACCTCCAAGTCAACGGTGTACTCGCTTTTGCGCACGCTGGTGATAATCCGTCGCATTAACGTCACCGACCGCCCGCTCTTCCGCCGCTTCTCCAAGGCCACCAGCGGCTCGCGATCCGACGTCGGCGCCGCAGCGCCGCCTCCGCCCGACTTTGCGGCGGCGCCATGACGACCACTTGCAGCGACTGGCTTTCCGGAGGCGATCGTCGCACTGGCAGTGCGACGCACCCTTTCACGCAGTTTGATCGTCGCAGACGCCGTTCGACGAGTCGCCGGCATGCAACCGGACTTAAAGCAGCCCCTGCCAGCCCCGCTACTATCCTCCTCGTCATCCGACAGTAGCAAATCGTCATCATCGTCCTCGTCGTGCATGGAGCCATTCGACACCATGGACTCATGCGGCGAGTCCGAATCGCCGTCCGTGATCGAGCTCTCGCCGCCATCATCATCGCGGTCGTAGTAGTAGCTGTTGTTGCCGGCGGCGCCGTCGTGCGAACCAGATTGCGACGTCCCGCTGCCACCATCCCATGTCGCCGCCGCCATCGCCTCCACCGAAGCCGCATTCCACGCCGCCGCCGCCTCCGCGGCTGTGGTTGCCGGGAATGCTGGCGCGAGTGACAGCGGGTTACATTCCAAGTCCGTCGATGTTGTTACTTGCGCGCCTTGGGTGAGTGTAGAAGCGACATTTGCCGCCGCCGGCGCGCTTCCCGCCGCGCCAGCGCGACGAGCCTCGGCGGCAGAGTCCGCTGCTGCCCCGTCGCGAGGAGCCTCGGCAAGCCCGATGCGTTGCCTTCCTGCTCGCTTCCAAATTGCTTTCGCCATTTCGTGCTCGAGTCGGTCCTCCTTCGCCAAGTTATTCCTTGAGCGTGGCGGATACCTTTGAAGATTGCGGGTGCAAAGACGAGTCGAATTCTGGTGGCGATCTTAACAAGCGCTGAATGCTGCAGAAGTTAGAAGTGTAGAAGAGGTGACTGATCAGTGTTCAACCGAGGCAAATGAGAAGCCTAGCTGTGCAGACTACGTGCTCTGAGTAGGACGTCGCCAAAACACTGGAAACCGCACCTCTCGAAGAGGCAATGCACTGAGATTTCCCCGTCATCACCAAGGGTTTCAGTATTGAGCGCCTGTTTTGTTGAACATTGCCGCCTCTCTCCCCCTTCGCGTTCACTTCCAGCATTCCTTCGCCGCCGCATCTCTCTCTCGGTGGAGCGGAAAAGTGCTGCTTGGGTGGCTCGGTCGGAAACCAAGACCAACAAACAGGTCGTCCAGCGCAGCTCAGGCCTGCGGCTGGAGTTCACTCGTGCGCAGGCGTAGCGGCTGGCGGAATCCTGGTTGGGAAAAACTGCGGCACAAACGCAGCCAAGGCTGGATGAGTTGGTGGCTCGTTTCAGTGGGTGAGTGAGACCCTTGGCCATACCGAACGAGGTGCGCTGCGGGGTTGACCGATCTGGTCAAGAAGATCAGGTTTCTGGAATTGTGTACATACCAGACATGTTGGGGGTCGTGGTACGTGTATTTCCACTGTCGAATTTGCAAATATACAAGGGCTTATGCACTTTCGCATGTGGAAATCTACAAGGGTTGTGACCGAACTTCAAACCGGACACTGTACGGGCATGAAAACTTTCATGGCAGAACAAGAGGGTCGCACTGCGCAGCAAGTTTCTTACTGGGTCATCAAAAACAGCCAATCGCAGCAGACACGACATGCTGGAGTTGCCGCCCCTCAACATTCTGGAGTTTCTTCTGGAGTGGTCGGGCTGAAAAGAAAAAAAACGAATCGTACATTCTGTGGTTTCGGTCGCAGCTTTCACTAAGAGAAATATAACATCGGGGTTGTACAGTGGTATTGTATCAGATTCACAAATCGTTGTATTACAGTTCCTAATATTTGTGGTCTAGTTCCTCCTGACCAAAAGCGTCTCGCGTCGCCAATCTAAATGCTGAAGAAGATGCAAAGCACAGTGCAACCGAACCTTCAGGCAAGAGAACAATGTGGCAGTTTTCCAACTCAAGGTGATACCGCAGTGCTGCGGATAAGGGCGTGCTCATGAAACTTTGGAGCTCCTAAGTGTCGAGTACCAAGGTGTTTTTGTTGGGATGGGTTGAGAAATTTTCAATCAGGACGCGGTGCAAGCGCAAATATCGCAGGATCGTCTGCAAATATCGAGCCCCGCAATCGAGTGGGCAGATCGATTGGCGATACGTAGCGACCGCGACGTTGTAACGATCGCCCCTTTAAAATTGACAGATCTCCCGCGATCAGTGATCAGTCTCATTCGCACACTGTACAGAAATTTTGGCAAAAGAACGTGTTGTAGAAATGTTACATCGTAGTAAATCGGGTTACCAATCTGCACATCGATCGCGACTGACGATCGATCGTCTACTTTTACCGCGTCCTCAGCTCCGTGATACAGGTTGGTGGCTGGGTGGATGGATGCTGCCATGCGTGCCAAACTATGGCCCAGTTCTGTTGCCGCACTACTGGTATGGACCCCTCCGTACAGCACTAGATGATGCTTCGTGAGGGCCTCTACCAGTGATCCTCGAAGATTCCATTCCAAGGGTGCATTCCTTGAATCAGGCTCGGGACCTTGACCTCTCTCCCGAACCTGGCCAGTGCTGTGCGGCCTACCTAGCGCAAAAGAACCCTGAACTAGTAGTATTGTGCTATCCCCTCCTCCCAGGCAAACTGGGTACGAGACTGGTGCGAGACTGGTTCCCGCTCGAATCAAGGACCCAGGGACAGCACAAATAGTTCCGGGCAGGGACAAATGCCCCGAAAAAAAACGCTTTTCGGGGGAGGGCAATGTTCCATTGGTCTCGAGAAATATTATTGGTACTGGTTGGCTGTATTGCTCCAAACCCGCCAATTATCGTCGCGAAAAACATTTTAACGGTCAGCCAAGCAAAACTTTTACGAAGCTCCTCCAGTTGAGCGGAGGGTGGCAGGAAGCTGTATCGCACCAACTTGGGGGGTTCCTAGCTTCGCGGAAGCACCCGGGTGCACCCGTGGTGCTGTGCTATCCTGTTCGCCCTCCTTTTCCTGTTGGGCAACAGAACTGGGCCTATAAAGCGTTACCTGAAAAGGATCGGCCGAGGATCGGCCGACCCGCACCGATCTGTGAGAATAAGAACGAGGAATTGCTAGAAACAGGGCAGTACAAGGTTTGTATAGGCAAAACCTAACAATACTGTACCCCATAAGGAATGCCCCACTACAGCCTACAATATGGTTTTGACACACCCCCATAGGCAAAGTGGGGGACAAGCAAGAGAACAAGGCAAGGTCAAGCTCAGGGTGGATCACAACGTCACCACACATTCTGAGCACAAGTTCAAGGCCACAAGGCCAGTTCACATGCAGGATTATAAATAAAGGTGAACAAGCAAGACAGTGATCTCAACCTAGAAAGGGTAAGCATGCAGGTGCAGGTATATATAGATCACATTACAAGCGAAGTCAAGAGGTAAGCAAGTGAGGCCCGGTAGGCACAAGACCTAGCATAGAACAGAAACGCTGATGATCACAAGGCTGAAGTGCCTTGGTAAAGATATCAGTAGTTTTGGCCCGAGAGGCCACGTAAGCAAGACGAAGCTGACCACGCTGCTGCAACTCCCGAGCAAGGAAGTAGCGCAGAGCAATGTGCTTCGTTCTGTGCTCCAGTCTGTGCTCCTGACACAAGGCCAGCATGGCCTTGTTGTCGACGTACAGAACTAGAGGAGAACGAGGCGCCTCTCCCAAGTCGAACAGCAGGTAGGTGAGCCAGCGTATCTCCTGTGCAGCCATGGCCCCGACGTAGATCTCAGCCTCACAACTGGAGCTGAGAACAGAGGACGAGCGGGTAGACCGCCACGAAACAGGGTCGGAACCAAGGCTGAAGGTGTAACCCTATGACGACCGCTGCGTAGCCAAGTCGTCAACCCAAGAAGCGTCTGCGTGACCAGTGAGGACAACTCGAGCCCGTCCTCCAAGCACGAGCCCCATGCCTGATGTACTGCATAGGTAGCGCAACACCCTCTTAGCTGCAGCCATGTGCGGTGTCTCCCAGGAGCAACATAGCGAGCCAAGATGCTAAGAGGGTATGCCAAGTCAGGTCGAGTGCAGGTCATCAGGTACATGAGGCAGCCAACAAGCTCTGGGTACGGGCCACTCGGCTCTATGGACTCATCCGAAGGCAGAGCTGAGAGCGAGTGGCGAGTAGACAGAGGAGTGGCCTGAGGCGAGGAGTACGTGAAGTTGAAGCGCTGAAGGACCTGCTGCACCATGTGTGACTGAGTCAAGGTAATGGTGCGTCGTGCTCTGTCCCGGGTGATCTGCAAGCCAAGATAGCTGCGCAACTCACCCAGGTCTGTGCACGTGTGTCTCTTCTGCAGCTCCGACTTCATGTGGGCCAGTCCAACAGTGTCAGCAGTAGCAAAAACCAAGTCGTCAACGTACACGAGGATGTAGAACGGAGGCAGAGTAGTGTCGGTGCGGAGAAACAGCGACGGGTCAGCAGTAGAAGGAGCACACCCAAGAGCCGCAAGCGTAGTCCTCAGTGTGTCGTGCCACTCGCGGGGCGCCTGGCGGAGACGGTAGACTGGCCACCGGAGGCTCCACTGGGTACCAGGAGGAAACGACCCAGTGAAGCCAGGTGGGCGGCGCAGCCAGATCTCCTCGTGCAGGCTGCCCTGTAGGAAAGCAGTGCTGAAGTCAAGAGAGTGAAGCTCGTAGTCACGCTGAGCAGCGACGTGCAACAGAACCCGAAGAGTGGTCATCTTCGGGGTCGGGGAGAAGGTCTGGAAGAAGTCAACTCCCTGTCGCTGACTGAAGCCTCGAGCAATATAACGCGCCTTGAAGACAGGCAGAGAACCCGGCGGTCGCTTCACCCTGGAAATCCACATGCCACTGACGATGTTCGCCCCAGGAGGGGAACCTCGTCGACGTAAGTGCCTGTGGACTTCCAGGATGCCATCTTTGCGTCCATGGCTGACTCCCACTGAGAGGAGTAGGGACCCTCTATCCCCTCTGCGTAAGAGCGCGGGGTCGGGGTGTCTGGTGCATCTGGGTCTCCCTCAGGTGCAATCAGCATGGACACGAGATGAGGTACAGCGGATGCAAAGCACTAAAAGTCCTCCTGCCTGTCCTCAAAGACGTCCGTGCCATGAGCACACTCACCCCAAACGGACGGAGGACAGACAGACTCAGACTCAGCAACAAGACTCGCGGCGTAGTCTAGACGACAGTGAGCAGCAAAGTCGACAAGCTCAGCAACTAAGGCAGACGCAGCAGTGGACCCAAAGGAAGGGTCAGTGACAACAGTGGCCAGGAGACGCGTGACAGTAGGACTAGCAGCACGAAGGGAGTCAGACTCCGGGTCAGAAAGGGCACGAAGGGAGGACGCAGGAGGAGACGGCAGAGGGACACGCCGCGGAGCAATGGAAGGGCGCAGAGCCATCCTGTGCGTGCCAGGGACAAGAGGAGGACGCTGACGCGAACCACGACGACTAGTCCTAGCAGCACGAACAGGCGATGCAGGACGAGACGCAGGCTCACGACGCTCAGCAAGACCTCCAGTCGGACCAGTGTAAGGAGAAGGAGCAAGCAGTGCTCCGGCAGCACCACCAGGCCCAGCAGCTCCAGTACCTCCAGTACGAGCACCTCCGGGACCCGTGGCTCCAGAACCCCCAGTAGATCCAGCAGCAGCAGGACCTCCAGCGCCCGTAGCACCACCAGCTCCAGAAGCACGGCTCCAGCGCCGAGCAAACCACTCACGCAGCTGCTGTGGAGAGAGTGGCTCGTGACGGGACGAAGCACCCGAAGGACCGCCAGGCTC